ATTTCTATATGTGATAATCTGGAAATGCAGCTGATGTCATCTGAAGTGTATTGTTTGTGTTATTACTATATTTCTAAATTGTATTGTATTTCTAAAACTCTCTTAGTTTGTAAAATTTGAGAGACCATCATTGTGAAGTTGAAATGGTGCAGATGAATTGGTTTTTTAAAAAGATGTAATAAAAATGAGATAATTTGAAAACTGTTAAATTTAATGAGATATATTTGGTTATAAGCAGGTAATAATAATACTGATATTTACTATGATAGCAAATTTTTCATTTGAAATCTTTACTACTATAAAATATAATGTGGTTTAAAGTTATAGTTTCAATATATTAATGATTAGATGAATGATTCTCTGTGCAAAGTGATTTGGAAGTGCATTCATCTAATGGGTTGTTTCAAAGTTTATTATTACTGTGGAAATAATACTTGTTTATAACGTGTGTCCTGTGGTACAAACATGTTTTATTGTAAACAACTTATTGATATGCACTGTTTTTGGAATTAATTAGGTATCCTCCCAAGTCTTTTATGTTAGTTGAAGTATGGTTAGTCCCTTATAAGCAAATTCATTTGTTTAACTATTGAACTCAAAGGTGGAAAAGCTTCTACCTGGTAAATTGTCATGTATAGGGTTGGATCTTCAACAGCATCTAATCTTCCTAAAAGAAAGGTTTGAGCGAAAATGTGAAGGGTAGAGAGAAAAAAAAACGGTTTGGGGATAGATGGAGGTGGGGGAGGCAGCAGAAAGACCATGTGCTCTAAGCCCCACCCATCCTCAGATGGTTGTTCTGGGTGCCTTTGTGCCAGTGTCAGATGGTTTAAGCATGCTGAGAAGGTGTGAGGAAGTTTGATTTTGTTTCTGTAGCTTGATTTGAAAATTGATAAAGTTATAGAGGAATTATGTCCACCCGCCTTTCAAAATAAACCTATAGGAAGGCCTTATTAAATCTAACCTGATTGGTAATTAACTGGTTCTGTTTCAAGTTTTATATAATTGCTTATGGTATGGTGATATTTCTGAATTTTCTTATATGGTGTAATCTGGTAAACAAATTGTATCAGCTATGTTGTTGAAAAAGCAATTTCTTAGGATCTAGAGATGTTAGATCAAGACTTGTACCCCCCCCCCCCCCCCCCCCCGGGAGAATGAATGTCTTACAATAAAGTTCCAAGTTTTGTCTATGTGTAAGAGGATGTTTCACCTAAAATTCTTATCAACTCTGTGCAAAAGTTTCCTGTGTTGTGGAATTCCTGAGTAAATGAGAATCCCTGGGAAAAATATAGGGGTATGATTTTCAGGTCTGCTTCACCTAAAGATATATATTTATTATATATGTTAATTTGGAGATTTATGGACTACCACATTCACTATGTGAGATTCCAAAATGTAATTATTTTCCAGTAATATATTTAAAGACAAAGGAAAGAAAAGATACTGAGTAAATTTTTAAAAGGCTTGATAATATTTGTTATTGTGATAAGGTTAATTTAATTGGCTACATTTTTCTTGGCCTATAAAAACTGAATTTCTTCTCCACTACAAACACCTTTTTGACTAAGGAACTGTGTGATATCTAGGAATTCTGAAATAACTAGGAATCTAGTTTGTTACAATACATTGGGAATTTATTTACATTACTTAAGCATGTTTTACACCAACTTAATTTTAATGAATTCCAATTTTAAAGGTTTATCTTTGCCTTCAAGGTGGAAAAGAGAGATATCATTTTAAAAGTTTCCAACTAATTTTCCTCCACAAAAGTTTAGTGATTATTCTTCTTAATCTCAGTATAAATTTTAAACTGTTTTTAAAGAAGGGAAATACTTTTAGAAGAAATGTTTTGAAAAAAATCTCATTTGAATTTTTTTGAAGGCCTATTAAATTTTCATTTGCAAGAAAATTTATTGCTAAATTACTGTAATGAGTTGTAAAGCAGAAGAGATCTTGCTATTTTAATCTGAATTTGTAATCATTTCATGGCCTACACAAGAATTAAATTAGTGTTTGAACTTATATGTATAAGATTCCAATCCTGATGTGTCACATTCTTCCACAGTGAATATACTTAGAGAAGAACAAACAAGCTGGTGAAACAAAGACATAAAGGTTAGTCAGGAACCTCTTCGCTTTGTTTAAACTGAGATAGGATTCCAGTACAGACAGTTTAGTGAAGTGTAGTAACTTATGAGCTCCTCTGGGTTATCTTAATGGGAAATCTAATATTATTTTTAATCTGGAACTAGAACGTGTGCAGAAATTTATGCAAACTACTTAACATTCACTTTAAGATGTTTCCATTGTTTAAAAGGGATTCTGAGAGCAGTGGTATTTTTCTGTGATCAGTCTCTTACTGTTACCAATGTGAGATTAAATACTTGTCATCTAGGATACGTAATGCTTGGGAGTTAAACTCACCTAAAGCATTGATTATTGGAACTCACTATTCATGACTTTTGGGACTGCAATCTGCTATTGTTTTTGAGCTTTGATTACAGGGACAGTTTTCTGAGTTGTCATGAAGCCAATACTAAGTAGATGGCATGTGCTGCAGGCTAAGAACTGCTAAAGGTGGATGTCTGTGCCTGGGAAGAGTTTTGAAGACAATCTTGGACGCAGCCTAAGTAGGATCTTCCTGACTCTATTTCCCAATTGTGCTGTTTCCTTTCTGAAAAGGAAAATTCCCCATCTGATTAATCCTGAGCCCTGCTTTTAATATTAAGTGACTACATGATTGGCTACAGATAGGCCTCATGTCTGGAATCGAACAGAGCTAAGAAAGCTCTTTTCTTCTTATATGATATAGGATATTGTCCCTCTTTTTCTTTTAGAGCAAATTTCTATAATCAAGAAGTTCTGTAAGTACAATACTAAATTTATTAAATAATAGATGGATACTGGAACATCTCTGAGTTACTATAATAGTATGCAAGTATGAATAGCTTACAAGTTTAACTTACATTCATGGCCTAATAATATAGGGATAATATCCTCTTAAAGGAAATGATTAAAGTAATAAGACAAAGATGTAATTTGATAGATGTCTTAATTAAAAAGGATAGCAATTTTGAGAAAAGCAACAGGATTAGACTGATTCCTCTAAGAATTATATACAGATGCATATGACTGGCTTCCAAAATTTATCTCTCATGGAAATTCAAGCTTTAAGCATGTTTTGGTAATAAGATCTCAAATTTGGAATTTTTTTTTCCTCACAAAAATTGCATAGGATAGTGGTAAAAGTAAGTGAAACTATTTTTCCTTTATTAAAGTATCTGTCTGGTAATTTAAAAAGGCAGGAGAGCTCATTTTAGGATTGGACCTTCACATTTTAAAAGGTTCTTATACCAGGTACAGGATTTAGGTAAGAAAAGAAGCAGTATACTTAAGTTTCAAAAATGGAGAACCAAATTTTAGTGACTGTACTAATGTATACTAAGTCAGAATTATTTGGGAACTTCTAGATCTAAACCAGATAATCAGAACTCCCTTTTAGAACTGTCCTAAGAATAAAATTGTCCAAGAAATGATATCTAGGGGCCAGATAACTACATGAGACATCTGGGATTCAAAAGGTGCTGTTTAAATAGACATTGGGAATAGGTTATTGGGATACAAGGAACTTAATGTTAGTTAACATTGGTAATAACGCTTGTATTGATTTGTATGGTTCATGTTTAAGTTTTCTTGGTTATCTTGGTGACATGTAAATCTCCCTTCTCAAAACTAGTCCATTGTGAGCCCTCTAAGTAGTTTAATCTGTACCTGACCTGATGTACTTACGGAATTTTGTGAATTATGAGAAAACTTTGTTGTACTGTTTGAACCTAGCCCTTCACAGCTGGGAAACCTGAACCATCTCTGTGTGCCTTTAACTAAGGACCTGTGTTATGCTGTTTTCTCTCAATTATCAACTCCTATGTCTTCTAAGAGCCCCTATCAGGTCTATCTGACTACTCCCACAGCTGCCAACTTCTGGATGTGGACTCCGAGTTCATCTGAAGACGCCTGCTCTAAGTGGACATCTCTTCCCATCCCCTGAGGAAGAGGAAGGTTTTTCCCATACCTTCCTTGGTCTACAGGTGGCCTTTGGCTCACCTTTGACCAAAAGGAGGAAATAATAATCATTTAAGACCATTTGAACCCCAATAAGGGCCAAAGCCTGAACTAATCAACCACAAGCAGCTTTGTTCTCTCAGTGAATTCAAAATGCCCCTTCCTCTGTCAGCAACTACAGGACAAGAAGAAGCTGATCAGCATTCTTCTGTTCATGGGACTTTTCTTATGTTGGTATTTTATGGACATATGTTAAACACAGATATCCTGGATCTACAATTTCAATTGACACTTTGACATTCTCCTATCTTATTGTATTTACAACCTATTCAATTAAGAAAATTCCTTTCTCATGCTATGGTTAAACATACACGGAGACCATAAATCTGAGTAACACAGACATCCTGAGTCAGGGTTTAAATGTCCTCCTAAAATCGCTTGAGTCAGTCAGAGTTAAAGCTCCGGGTCCATGTACATGCCACTAACTTAAGAGAATAAACAATATGAATTTACTTATCGCCTAGCTTGCTGCCTCTTTATCCAACTTTCAGGTCGACAAGACCTAAGCTTTGCCAAGGTGGAGCTCACGACCCGCCCCAGGGCTGGAGGTCGCCACTCGGCTAAGCTAGTTTTCCCTTACGTCAAGTAGAACTTCAGCTCTGGGGACCCGCGGGTCACTCGGCAATGGTAACTAGTATCCCCCCCGGGTTGGGGCTCGGCGGGGGATGGAGAGATACAGAGCAGGCTCAAACGGGGGGGGTTGGGGCGCGACGGAGGGAGGACGGCAGCCGATGAGGTTCAAGAAGGTGGGCGCCCCAGAGAGGGGGAGAGGGGCGAGGATGGCGCGCGTGCACGCCCTGGCATGGCTTCCCGTCACCCCTAACGGGCTCAGTAGCCCCGGTCTGACCAAATGAAGGGAGCTGAAAGGCTCCTCTCACCTCTCCACTGGGCCAATGGGCCGCCTGCTACATCGACGGGCCTCCCGTGAAGGGAAAAAGCCCCTGAGAGGCTCCCGCTTCCGCCGGGGCGAAGAAGCCACAAAGGCCAAAGATCCCTCATGTTTTCCTAAGCCTTATGCTTCGGGGGGGGGGGGGGGGGGGGGGGGGGGGGGGGGGCGCGGAAGGGGGCGGGGCCCGGAAGGTATGTCTGTCACACAAGGGTTTCTGGGAAAAGTAGGCTTATTGTCTGCATAGCTTCCTGGGAAATGTAGTCTCCGATCTGTTAATAGCCTGCCACAGGAAATGTCGTTTGGCAGCTACCTCCGGGTACCAGAGATGCATACCAGTGAAATTTGCCCGCTTTATGCAAGGCCCGTTCATGGACTGGCACACTTTTTCTTCTTCTCCCCTCCATCCTTTCCATTCCCACTTTCCCCATCTATGCGCGCCGGCAGCCGACCCTAATATATCAGGGATCTTTCAGGAGGAAAGACTTGATCCTTCGGGCGGTTTCTTGGTGATGATTTTTCCGTTTGATACTAATTCTTCCTCTTCATGATGTATGTGGGCCTCTGGGATCGTGGTCCTTGCTTAGTCGTGGTGCATTCCAGGAGGGTGTGGAGGCCCCATAAGCCTCGAGCCCTATGGGAAATGTAGTCCATCCGATCCGTAGATCTTCCCGTATCTTTTTCATTCTAGTCCCAATTGATCTTTATAATGTTGTTACATTTATTTTTGATATTTTGGTATGTTGTTCTTTCCATTTCCATTGTTGTTACTATGTATATTGTTGTATTGGCTCTACTTACTTCAGTCTGCATCAATTTATATAGATCTTTTCATGCTTCTTCAATATACCCCAATTTGTTTAGACATTGCCCGATTGATAGGCATCTACTTTGTTTCCAATTCTTAGTGTATCACCAAAAAAAAAAGAAAAAAGGTTCCTATATTTTGGAATATATGAAGACTTTTATTTCTTATAGATGGCTTCCTTGGGGTATAATCCCACTAATAGAGTCTCTGGTGCAAAAGGCATGGCTATTTTAGTCACTTTATTTGCACAGTTTCAAATTGCTTTCCAAAATGGTCATACCATTTCACAAATTCCAACAATGTATATTAGTGTGCCAATCTTCTGGTGACCCCTCAGACATTGACTGTTTCCATTTTTTTAGGTCATTTTTTACCAATTTGCAGGATGTGAGGTGAAACTTCAGGGTTGTTTTGATTTGCATTTCAATTATTTGATCATTTTTTCATGTGGATTTGAATACTTTGCAATTCTTTTGAGGATTGTTTGTTCATATCCTCTGGCCATTTATTTTTGGGAGAATGTCTATTAGTTTTATATTTGTCCAGAGATGTTTAACCTTTTGGTGTCATGGACCATTTGGACAGTCTGGGGAAGGCTCTGGTCCCCTTCTCAGTCTCCTGGTTTTTTGTTTGTTTTATCCCCTTCACAAATTTCAGTTCAAGGAAGGTACAAATAAAGATGGAATTATTTTTCCATCCAAGTTCATAAACCCCCTAGAATCTATCCATGGATACCCAATGGGTTTGTAGACGGAAGGTTCAGAACTCCTGAGGTAGTTCAAACTTCTTATCTTATAGATGAGGAAACTGAGTTTTGGAGAGGTGAATAGATTTGCCCAGCACAGCCAATTCTCAAACATAGATCCTCTGACTCTAAATTCATTCTTCATTCTCCCACAGTAGAATATGAACTTCTTGATCCAAGTGTTTCCTCTTGATGTACCTGTGAGAATTGTAAAAAACAAAACCAAACTAAATGATGCAGTCTGGGGTGGTGAGAACCCTGATATGTCAGGGTAGAGGGAGGCATCAGCCTGAAATGAATTCACACACTCAAAAACCTTCTTCCAGTCAAATGTCGAGGTTTATTGTAACTGCAATAGAAGCAGGCAAGATTCTTAGGGGAGCTACAACTTAATGGGGGTGAGACTGATGATTATATACGAAAAGGACAGTGAGAGGACCTGGCTGGGATTAAGGAGTGCTAAGTAACCTGGGGAGGGCCAGGTGCAATAGTGAAAGTGATGGGGCTATGGGACCTGGTCCCCTAAAAGCCTAAAAATCCGCCTAAACTTTCCCACATACAGCCCAGTCCCTAAACTTTCCCATACTGGCTTTCACCTGAGGTATCTGGTCTATCCCAGCTCACCTAGATACTCACCACTCTTTCACAGGTGGCTCTCCTAACTCCTTTTCTTTTCTGCACCTGGACCACTCCTGGCTATTTACCACTCCTTAATCCCATAAACCCCTTTCTCTGTTGTCCCTGGGCCACCTCAGGATATTTACCACTCCTTAATCCCATCTAGATCTTCTCATTGTCTTTTCTTACCCCAATTAAATTGTGAAGATTCACTAGGAATCTGCCCTCCACAATGGTGTTACAATAAACTGCCCCTTGACTGAAAGAAGGCTTGAGTGGTTGAGTTCTTTTGAGACAGACTCACCCTAAAACCTTACATTTTGGGGTTCCCAGGACCCCAAATCACAACAAAAGGAGTATTAAGTAGTCTGAGGTGGGCCAAGAGTGACAGTGAAAGGAATGTCAAGTAAAGCTAATTAAGTCTAGTAAAGTCTAGTCAAGTAAAGCGAATTAAATCTAGGTGGGCTGGGGTAGGCCAGTCGCCTTGGGCAGAGGACAATGATCTGGCCTGCTGAAATGTATGGGAAAATTCAGGGACTGGATTGTTTTCAAAGACATGGTCTTTTCCTTTCAGGTGTCCAGGTCCCATCACTCCATCACTAAACAGCCAGCATTTTTATTTTTCTTCTTTGATATTTTAGATTAGGAAAAAGGCAGCAAATGCAACTGGTTTTCTTGCTGATAAACTGTTTGCAGTAGTTTGTTAATTGGGCTACAGTGAGACCATTATATCACTACATGGCTCAGAATATGTAGGCCTATAGTAGCTTCACAATTCAGAGGATCTATTTTGTCAGAACTGAATATTCGTATTGTATTTCAGTCTAATGGCTATATACTCATTAAATGGGTATTTTCCCGCCTCTCCTTTTATCTTTTAAATAAATTTATTGAATATACATGGAACTTATGGGGAAGAGGAGAGTAAGGAAACAGGAAAGCATGTCTATGTCTACTGGAATGTTCTATGCACATAATGTCAGAACACACATTTTACTAGGCTTTCTTTTTTCCCCCCACAATAGTAACAAATTATTTATTTATTTGCTTGTTTTGGCTAGGTATTTGGAGTTAAGTGACTTGCCCAGGGTCACACTGTTGAGGTTTAGAGGTGCTGGGACCCCAAAATCACAATACATGGGTACTGCCTGAATGAATTCCACCCAAGCCTTCTTTCATCCAAAGACAAGGTTTATTAAAGATCCCCCATATTGGCCAGACTCTTAAGGAATCTAAGTATCTGTATTGCTAATGCAATCAGCCAGATCTTAAGAATCTGAGCACCTTAATGGAGGCCAGATGGACCTTATATGCAGAAAGACAATGGGAGGTATCTAGGAGTGGCCAAGTAGTCTGGGGTGACTGGAGGAGGGGTCTAAGGAGGATCTGGATGGGAGTGGCCATTCAGCTGGGGTGACTGTGAGGTAACAGAATACCTGGACCACATGTCCAAGGGAGAATGGAACCTAGATAGGATTAAGGGTGGGAAGTGGTGGGGAGCCATAGGGAGGTAAGACAATAGAGGGCTAGGCTAGATTAAGGGTAACAGAGAATTGGGAGATTGGATGTAGGTGATAATGAAAGGCCAGTTGATAGGATCATAGTCTCAAGTGAAGGTCAGAGATTTGGCTATGTGGGAAACTTCAGTGCTTTTCATTTTTGGGGTCCAGATCCCAAAGACATGGTCTTTTCCTTTTAGGGGTTCAGATCCCATCCCCATCATTCCCCCCTCAAACAAATGGGACCTAAATTCTTTTGGGGTAAGGAGCAAAGGTCTTGGCTTCTGCAACTGCTTCTTGCTGGCAAGGGATGTAGAGCTGTCCCTGCCTTGAGGGGGTCCCAAAAAGGAGGTTGACTGGAACCAAGCACAGGCTGTATCCAGGGGACAATGGGGGGACATTGGCTGGTACCTGCTGTTTGCTACCAACTGTAGGTGAATGGCCTGTAGTCTGGAAGACACAAATCTGACAAAAAAGACTGCAGGGCCCAGATATAGGGAGAAGTAAAAGTATAAGAGCCCCATTAAAATCACTTACATTTGACCTGCAGGATTGTCTGATCTCATTACTTTTTCAAAAGTTTAAGTATTGCAGGCAGAAGTTTTCCATCCCTGGGTTTAATAGTTACACAAATGAATTTGTTAAGAGACTGACTTTTGCTTCAACTATCACTAAAATTTTCCTCTCCAAACCAAACTGAAGATGTTTCTGACTTAATTTCAGGTGTTTGGGGGTATTGAATGACTGCATATTCAGATCAAAATAGCAAGATCTCAGACACTTGCTTTGTGCTTATATCTTTTGTTGTATATTTGACTATAGAAATTTGCTGTAAAAGATTTAGGGCCCAAATATTTCAGGATAAAACATCCTTAGCTATGCTTGAATTCAGATAATTCAAAGTTTTCCAACCATGCAGTATCAAATCCACTTCATAACCAGACTCAGGAATAGCCAGGTGGGTGGCATTCCTTTTCAAAGGAACATAATGGGGAAAATGAGCCAGGAGGATCCTATTTTAGACTGAGGCTAAAATTGTCCTCTCAGCTTTTCCCAATGCAGACTTCCCACCTGTATCACATTATTTCTGAGTAGCTTGTGGCATTTCTCTCAGATGGTAGATTATTGATTATTGATGGATTATTGTGATCCATCAGATAACTCAAAATAAAATAATTTATGGCCCCATGAACTTTTACCTTAAATAGCAAGTTTCATTAATCACAACTTAGGAAAAACTTTTCCTGGACTTGTAAATTCTCAGCTAGCCATAACCCAAACAAGCTTTTTAGCAAGTTTACGCATTAAAGCAATAACCAAGGATAGCCAAATTGTTTTAGCTGTAACCAAATTATGAGAAATTGCATGGCATAACTGATACAAAAAGTTTACCAATTTGGGACTTGAAACAAACTCATTACCAATCAGGTTTTTGTTAAATGC